TGGGGGGGGGGATCATATGTGCTTTGAGTTTTATTCATGGCTGAAAAATGTCACCAGTGCTTTGTTATGACGTACTAAAATGCAGCTTTTTTAAAAAATATCTGTAGCATCTCGGAGTAGATAAAACAGTTATTTTCATAAAGGTAACACAGACTTTGAGATCATATAGGACAGTTTTACAGTTTTACATTATGTGGCATCTCCAGCACTGCTGTTAAGGTCGTGCCCTGTAGCCATGCCCCTGTTCTCCTGTCATCTCTCTCCAAGAAAAGCTGGAACACAAGGATGAAAACGTTTCCCACCCACACGTTCTGCATCTCGCTGCCACTCCTGCATTCTCTTCATGTCCTCCTGTGTATCACTCTGCTTTTCTCGCGCCTCGCACTCATGCAAACGCATATATAGAAGCCTCCGAGGACCGGTGCATAAACGATGGCTCCAGTCCCAGGCAGGCCTCGCAGGCAAGCTGGCTAGCAAGTCCACCGACGCCTTCATCCGTTTACCCGTTCATCTGTCCGTTTTAGGCTTCAAACCTAACCCCCTCTTTACTGGCAAAGCCCAAAGGCAGCACCTGATGTGTGAAGCGCACACCAAAGTGTAAATGAGTGCCTCAGCCGGGACTTGAATTGGCTGCTGATGATTTACAAAAAGACATATTTCCATTTGAAAAGGTTTCTTTAAGAGTTGCTTATCATCGCTGCTACTGTGTTTGTGCTCCGTCTGAATGCTCTTTTTACCTAAGGAGTCTCACCAAAGAGAATTCTGAAAGCTCTCTAATTAAAAAACCCTATTTTAAAAATGTGAGCCCAGTTTAGCACTGAGCCTCAAAACAGATTGAGGTAACCAAGTCTGCATGATGAACACTTGCTTTCTCGAACTAGGGTGTGAGAAAATGAGTGTTTGGTCACATCTAGAGCTTGATTTTAATCCTAAAGACTTTAATTGCCCTCGGTGGCGCAGCGGCCTCTTTAGTTTTCACCTGCAGACACTTCTTAGCTACTTCTAAAAGTATAGCTGCTAAAAAAGGGGGACAAAACTAGCGCACTTCCATATTTGGGTGCACGTTTACATGCCATATAAAAGAATACCACACACTTGTAAACTTAAAGCAAATAAAGTGCAGACTGTGTTTTTATCACAGTAGTGGAGTTTATTGTCAATAAGGAGTAGGTACATTAAAAACACACACGCAGAGACTCACACGCACAGTCGCCCACACAAGCATCCACACACACACATGCGTGCAGCCACACACACCCTGACACACCAGCCCCTTTTCCTGTGGGTTCTGCTTCCTGCATTTTGTAGAGCACGAACAGATGTTTCTGTAGCTCTGAAAGCAGATGATTTGAAATTCACACATCGTATTGAATCTGAACAAGAAGACTGAGTCTCTGTGGATTTGCTTTGCACACCGGAGAACCGAGAAAGAGAGCAAACTTTTTGGAGCACGTGATTTAAAGTGCGCTGTTTCCTCCTGTGCAGCTGAGAAAGACAAAGCGTGTGAGGGGATAGTTACACTTTTCTTGGCCTTTTTTTAAAAAAAATTTTTTTGAACGATGATTGTGGAAACAGATGCGCCGTCAGGTAGTAAAGTCGATGTTCATGTTCATGTTCATGTCGTAATCTGCTGCAGGAAACTGATTGGTGGCTCTCTGTCTGAATAAGATGTTTGGAGATTGTGCCGTTTTAGATTGCAGTGACGCGAGTGCCACAGAATCCATTTCTTTAAATAAAATCGTTATATTACTCGACATCATATGCTATGACTAACATAATGCTGTTGGCTCAGCTCCCATGAATCATCCCCACGAGCTCACCTTTGCACGCGTGAATCATCTGATGCCAGCGTGCGCATTTGTATGGTATGTCCGTATGTGCGGCACGGCTTCAGAAATTTGTTGGGACTTAATGACTTATGCTCTTCTACTAAACTCATCAGCACAAACTTAATCCTGCAGGCTAAATAAGCAAGAGCTAAAAATAGTCCCTGCAGCTACAGCGCCATGCGTAGCAGGATACGGTTGTCTGGTATATAGCAGTGATGGAAGAAGACCGGTGGCGGTGAATGGAGGGATGAAGGCCTAGAAAGATGACAAAAGAGGTCTTCATTAAAAGTAGAGTGGTTTTCATTTAAGTGTTTTGAGGTGGGAGCACTGGCATAAACCATCACAGTGTACACCATATTGGAGTATATTTATGTTCTGATTTATATTTGAACCTTTCGGGAATCATGACTTTCATGGCAGTTCTCAAAAATCTTTGTCTGCGGATCTGACGGGGAAAGGAATAATAAGCTTCCACCGGTAGGCAGGCAGACAAACAGATGGATGCATTCAGTCAGCAGGTACATAGATGATGCAAATAAATAGTCAGGGGAAGCTAATAATGGATAGAGAATTAGATTAGAGACGGAGTGATTAAAAAAACGGGATCCTGCTCTATTGGTAATGCCTTCTGTCCACATGTCCTAATTATACCTAAATGCATTGCCCTGCTTCTCCCTTACTCCTGCTCGGTCTCCTGCTACTAACCCCACACAATGCTTGACAATCTTAACAAAGCTTCCCTGAGGCCCCTTATCTAATAGAGCAGTCTCTACAAGACACACACACACACACACACACACACGCATCGCAGCCAGCAGCGAGTTGAGGGGGAAAGATGAGGGAGTAATGGGACAAAGACAAGTTGTCAGATAAATGAGATAAATTAGACACTGAGTGAGGAACGACAGAGAAAGAGAGAGAGCTATTCTTTTCCAACTCTCCCAGGGTTGTTGCTGTGTGCGAGAGCTCTGGTGGGATCTCATTGTTCTTTTTTGTCCTTGTGTGTGTCCGTGTCCATCTGCTGCAAGCCACAGTGTGTTTTATCAGGACTGAGGTCTGGTGCTCGAGCAGAAGGACGCATGTGCAAATATACCACGTGTCGCAGCCGAGGAGTGCACTTGTGTTTAGGAAACACACGAAATCCTGCAAATGCACTCGTGATGGACAGTGTAGCAGATGTTAGTCTTTGTAGGTTTACTGTGATCATCAGTGTCAACTGTCTTCACTGATTTTTGACATTAAATTCATTTTTTTAAGCCTTCATTGATTCAATTTGATGGTTTTTGTCTACGTTAAACCAGGATCAAAGATAAATGCCACCCATTGTATATGCGTTGGCCTCTTGCCATAGTAGTTACTTTTGGGGGGGGGGCTTATATAATGCTGTCATTTATCAGCAGGAGAACAGAGAACTAAAGAGACAGCCAGTTGGAGACCCCAGGCTGCCACAGTGCCCACGCACACAGCATCATCTTTCCACTGCATCACTAGACATTAAATTAGCTTAAATTTGCTTCCTGGAGACGTACTTATTACTGCAAACCCTAAAACTAATTCTTAACCTGGTCTTATCCAGCCCCCATCCTTAAAACAAGTCTAGATACTAACATTTGTAAAACTTTACATTGAAGTCCTTGTAATAAGCATTAGTTTAATCAGGTTTTGAGATATTAAAATGTCCTATTAGTTAAAACATTATGTTTCATTAACAGCGTCACTAACACGTCATATGAAATGTCATATTTTGAGACAATCATACGCACTTAAAGTGTGTAAGAAATTTTTCCTCATTTCACCATTTCATGCTATTTTTTAATAGAACTTTTAGTATTTTTGTTTAGATTAGCATATGCATGTGCTATATTGTTATTAGTAGTTAATCACGCTTTTTTAAGCTACTGAATCCAAAGAGCTTACAATACCTTATCATGTTAATCTAAAGAGCTTGGAAAGAAATGTGACTGAAGAAGCTTCTCAGATGTGACGTCCAGTGGCTTTTCTTTCCAAGCTCCTTAGATTACCACAACCTGGATGACGGAGAATCTACACAAAATCTTATTGGGGTTATTTTACACTTATTGAGAGTGTGAAAGGGGTTTAACACCTATTACCTTAACAAGGATACTGATAGACACTGGAAGCTGTACTCCAGAGTTGACCGTGTTCCAGTAGCAGCAGTCAGAAAAACAGGCTCTATTCTGCTTCCTAGCAAGGTGGAGCCATTCATCCATCACTATGAATGCCTGGAGTACAACGCAGTAGCTGTTATTCCTCATTTTTTTAAAAAAGAAGAAAAAACATAGCTGCAGCACATTAGAGTCTGGTCCATGCTCTGTGTATGGCTTATTTACTGAATCACAAATGCATAAAGGGGGTAGTACAGAGCACACATTTTACACATTTGCTACTTTTTACGCTTACTTCTTACAGTCTTTAATTTCAAAGTTGAGATTGGTGTGGCTTCACTGGCTTTCCAAGTGTGAAATCTGACCCGAGGGGGCGTTGCAGCTGAAAATTGTGATTCCAACTTCCTAAACGTGAATTATCCTCCTCCTCCACCGTGAGACATTTTCAGCTTCCGGGAGATGGCCAAGCGGGCTGCTCAGGCCAATCACAGCAAGTCTGAAAAGTCAGAAAGTCAAACATTCAGTATATGACAGGCCCTTTTCATCTAAACCCTAATTTGTGTCAGATTCAGAGCTCTGAGCCTCGCCTTTGATGCTACAGTACCGCTCAGGATACAGTCGGCAGGTTTACCCACATGTGCACTCCACTGAGTGTGTGCCCTCCTGTGAAACCGGAAGGAGACAGAGTTTGGAGGTAAAGAGGAGGGTAGACCTCAGGAAGATGGGCATTTTCGGTAATACCAGGGTTCTCATCATTAGCCTCCCATAAAGACTGATGAGCGTGAGCTGGCATCCTCCTTTCTCCTGTGTAATGAGTCATTAACAGTAAAACATTTTGGAACAGAAAATGAAGCGCACAGCAAGTAGGCTTTGAGCCAAAGACATCCAGAAAATGGACGGATGAGCTTACAGAGACTGTTAGATTTAAACTTCAAGTCATATTGCGCCATATAAAGCTGACTATATCTACACTGCAAATGTAAATCCACTTTGGGTTCACAGTGGTTTGGTAGTACTTACATTGTCTCACTTCATGTGTTTCTAGTGGAGCTGGATGCAGAGCACGCACAGAGAGTCCCCGGGGCGGAGCAAGGAGGGGGCCTGCCACCCCAGGTGAAGCTGAAAGAGAGGCAGAAGTTCTTTGAGGAGGCCTTTCAGCAGGACATGGAGCAGTACCTGTCTACCGGCTACCTGCAGATTGCTGAGAGGCGAGGTGAGGAGGAGGAGCGGTAAGGTCAGACGTTTTCTGATATTAGTTTAGTTTCCTAGCGCTCCGTCGCCTTTAGCGCAAAAGGAAGATGTTGAGGGTTTGAGGTTTCGGTAGTATTGTGCGCTAATTCTTTAAAGGTGAATGCAAAGGCGTGAATACATTTCAGACTCCCTTTACTATCAGCTTAGACCTTCACACTTTAACCGCATACCATGAGATTGAGTCATAATGGCTTTACATAGTGATGAGAGCCTGTCACTTAACACACGAGTAGAGTCGTTCCATTTTAAATTATGCCACCATGATATATAAACGTACTCTGGGATTGTAACAGAATCCCGCTGCGCTGCGCCTCCATGTATTTGCTGCCAAACGTCTACTGAAATGCCCAAAGCATGTGCAGAAACAGCTCCCCGCACTGAGAGATGTTACAGACTCCACTGGCCAGTGTTTGTAATGTGATTTTTCTTCTTCTTTCCCTCATCTGCCCTCCTCCCCACATCACCCTGGAAATGGCTTAGAGAAGCTTGTGGAGAAGTAAGGACGGAGGGAGAGATGGAGCAAAAGGAAAGAGATTTAAGGAGCGTTCACTGAAACTCAAAAGGCTTTTTTATCAGTGCAGTGAGCGGAATAGTCACAGCTCATTATCCGAAGAAGCGTAGCACTGTATTGGCTCTTTTATATTAGTGGTACAAAAAGACTGGACATGTTTATATTTAAAGTGGTTAAAAAAATAATAATAAAAATCATCTGAAACCAACACCTCTCCATGACCAATGAATGCACAACTCATAACCCTTAATATAGCTGTAAATCCCTACAGCAGGGCGGCGCTACTGAAGAGCAAAGATACAGCTGGAGACTCCGAGAGCGAAAGGGAGGCTGCAGATGTCATAAGCCGCTGAGCCATCAAAAGCTAGTCCCAAGGGTCTTACACACACACACACACACTCACACACTCTCTGCAATCTCACTAAAGGCAGAGACAGTCCTTCCCAGCAGGAGAACCTTTTAGGCAAGGTCACGGTGGTGCTAAAAGAAGAGCATGTTAGAGGCAGTCACATGGAAACGATGCTCTCAACGTGGTTCTTCCTGGACCTAGACTTTCACATAACATAACCACAGCTGTCAGTTGTGTATCCATGTGTGTGTCTTCCCGTTTGTTTGCCTATTTATTACATGGAGGAAACGGAGCTTTAAAACTGAAACAAAATATCCTTCGTGCTATGCTTTACGAGGCCGAAGAGCTCATATGGAGGTGACTGCGTAGCTGACAGAGCAGATATGGAAATGCCCATGAGAAGCGCCTGCCCGCCGAGGCCCACTGAGCAGTCTTTAGGCAGAATCAGAGCCTGAAACGTGTCACAGAAAGCACCACTGCTGTCCTCACTGAGCAGAGGAGATAAACGCGTTCGTTTCATTTATTCACTTTCTCTGCGTACGCATCAACAGTCGCTGTGTATATAAACTTAATGTGCACGTGCGGACATTCAGACGAGTTACCCAAGTTGAGGCATCTGAAAAGACGGCGCTCTCCTGTGTCTGTGTGTGATCTTTTTGTGTTTTGTGTTACTATTTAAAGGGCAAGGAGACCTTGGGGCAGTCTCCACGGGAAATAACATTCGCCTTCTGTTTTTTTTTTTTCCTCTTACTTTCCTCTTTTTTTATTCTGCTCTCCCTCCCTGTGCCGCCCTTCTTCTGCTCTCCTCATTTCTTTGAGGTACGGTAGCCAATGGCGTCTTATCTCACTGCTCTGCAACAACCAGTCATGCTGCTTCTTCCTCATGCTCTCACAACCCCGTCCCCTCATCCTCTTAGTGTACCAACTGGCTGTTTACTACGCATGTGGCACATCACGATGTGGAGGGGGTTGCACCTGTGCAAGGCGGTGAATCCAGGAGTGTATTAGCTGTAGTGTAACAGGAGTTTCCAATCAATCTGTGTATTGGTGGACTATTAAAACATTAGACCCATTAAACATTCTGATGTGCTGCCTTGCTGTCAACAACCACACATTTGTGCTTTCATATATATAATAAGAACGTCAGCAATCTGAAAGAAGCGCCTCAGGAAATCAGAGTGATTTCTCAAGTTTGTCAGCTATCTCTTTAAATCTCTTTCACATGCTTTAAATCACGATGTCTATTTTTAACTTGAAAGCAATATTCAGGCATTTCAGAAGTACTCTTAGCCTTCATGGGAAGAATGTTGTTACTTCAGTTAATGATACCTGCAAATTCAATATGTTGAATTTCCAGGTATTTCCCGTAAGCATGCTTTTGATGGTAAGGTAAACCAAATATGGTTTGTATGCATTATATACAAGCTTATCCACTTTGAATGCCATCCAGCTTGAACATGCCCATTTGCTTCTGCAAGAAAAAAACAATCCCACTGTTGCTGCCGCGTTCTGCTGCAGTGTTCGCTAATACCTCATTTACCTTTTGCTGTGTACAGAACCAATAGGCAGCATGTCATCCATGGAGGTGAATGTGGACATGCTGGAGCAGATGGATTTGATGGACATGTCTGACCACGAGGCTCTGGATGTGTTTTTGCACTCTGGAGGAGAGGACAACAGCGCTGCCTCGCCTGTTGCAGGTCGGAAGCCGTGCACACAAAGAATGGCTGTACCCTGAAGTAAACAGACTGGTTATTGTTATACTGGCTTTTGATTCAGTGCATAAAACTCACTTAATCTTAGAGATAGCATTCTCAAACTGTGCATTAAAGTACCGCCCGGGTTCATCTACAACAAATCACATATCTGCATTTGTATTTGAGACTACGTGGACTGATGTCAGTTATATGTTCCCTCACCACCTGCAAAAATAAGGACCAAGAAGCACTTTATTGTAATAAAAGCACAGTCCAGATGTTCAACTGTCAGTTGTTTTACCCTAAAAGGACATGAAATATACACTCACTTCAAGATTTATGAGGTACACCTGCTGGTAATGGGTTGGACCCCGTTTGCCTCCAGAGCTGCCTTAACTCTCCGCTGCACAGATTCAGCAAGGTCCTGGAAACAATTCTGGTGTTGTCTTCTGATACTGTAGCCCATCTTCAAGTTTATTATTATTTGAATTACTGTTTCCTTCCTACCAGCTTGAAACAATCCTGACCTCTGCCATCACCAAAGTAGATCAACAACATATTTTCACCCAGAGAACTGCTGCTCACTGGATATTTCCTATTTTTCAGACAATCCTCTCTAAACCCTAGAGATGGTTATTTCAGAAAATCCCAGTAGATCAGCAGTTTGTGAAACATTCAGACCAGCCCATCTGGCACCAACAACCAAAGTAACTTAAATCACATCTCAGGGGAAACTGGCATCATGGATTTGCAGCCAACAAATCTGCAGCACCTGTGTGATGCTGTCATGTCAATATGGAGCAAAATCTCAGAGGAATGTTTCCAGCGCCTTGTTGAATCTGTGCCACGAAGAATTGAAAGCATCTCTGAAAGTAAAAGGGGGTCCAACCCTTTGTCAGGTGCAAGGTGAGTGCAATTTCCCACTGATCGTCCATCCATTCACTTCCGCTCATCCCAGCTGTTGTAGGGCAAGAGGCAGGGTGCACCCTGGACAGGTCGCCAGCCTGTGATTCATAACAAATTCACTGAAGCAGAAATCTGACAAGCACACCACATGATGTAACACATGATGCACCATCAGCATCTGTCCAGATCTGCTGAGGAAACATATTGTTGCAGTCAGTCATCTGATGCTACACTTTCTGTTTACAGTCGATCAGTCGGTTGCAAGTTTGAACTAAAGCTGTGAAGTCATTCCAAAGAAACGAGAGCAGTTGCCTCATTTTATCTGCAGCAGCCCTCGGCCTGAGACAGCAAGTAAATAATAAATAACCATAAATAATAGAATTATTTGGGTTATTTAAGGGAAGTGGGTCCAGTTACGCACAGACTCAGAGACATAGTTATTATTGTCTGTCCTCCTGCCTATCAAAGTCAACTATTTAATTTCTGTTTATTTAACTGTCATTTAAACTAAGAAGTTCATAAAAAATTAAGAACAATTTTTTAGCACAAAGTGTGAAGTTACCCACTTCCCCTTCCTGTCTTTCAGGTCCAGACGTCGAGTCCTTCACCACAGAGATCAGCCTCCAAGTTCCCACCCAGGCTGAGCTACGACACAAGCTCTCTTCATTATCATCCACCTGCACTGACTCCGCCAGCCAGGACACAGAGGCCGGGGAGGAAGACGAGGAGGAAGAGGAGGAGAGTGAGCAAGGAGGAGGAGGGGGCGTTGGGGGATCAGGAGGAGGAGGAAGGAGGAGAAGACCCCCTGTGGTAGTGACCCTGGATGAAGAAGAGGTGCACCCTGACACAGTGCTGGTGGACAGGGCAGAGCGCGAAGATCAGACCAGCAAAGACTGTGAGGAAAGCAGGCCAGAGGTTTGAGGAGAGGCGGAGTGAGACACCCAACAGCTGCCAAATCAAACTCAGAACAATATTGGCTTTGTTCTTAATATTCCTCTCATATGTCAGAGAAACATATGATAGAAAGTGCAACCTCAGTGCACTTTCTAACTGCCACATGACCTTACCTTGAGAGACGTGAGTTTTCAATTCTAATTGATCTTATAAAACAGTTTTTTTTTCCCCTTTTCACCATAACGTCATCGAACGGCTTAGCGATTCTCCTGTTTCTTTGTTTCTCCTGCTGTATGTCGAGGCCTGTTACTGATTAACGACTGAGTAATGAGGACATAGAAACACACTAAAAATCACCCACACGACCCTTCTGCTATGCTCCATCCTTCACTGCGCTTATAGACCGCAGCGGTCATGTGTTTCCCATTATTGCTTGTGTTGGAGATTAAGCGTGGAGCCTAAAGTACCCCCATTTGGCCAAAATAAAGAAGCTAGCTTTTAAAATCTAACTGCAGGTCAGAAATGTGAAGTCAGTTTTTAATCTGTAAAAGAAATGTTGCCATGCAAATTCACCCGCCAAAGATTTTATACCTTATAAAATCCACGTGTGTAAAACCACGGGGATAGCTTTGGTTCTGTTTGCACAGGTTTTCTGATGTATGCGCTCTATGAAACTGTTCTAGGGGTTAAAGCTATGAAATGAGACTTTCAATTGTGCAATTTCTCTTCCACAATTCATTTTAGTGCAACAAATGCAAAGATACACTACTCAAAGAAATGAAGGGAACACTCGATCATCACTTGGTATGACACAAAGTCATTTAAACTTCTTTCCTTTCATTTGAAGCTTTGCTGCAAGTGAGTTTTTCTCCGGTCCAGCTCCTCTAGGACTGCAAAATGACCTCCAGCTGAGCTACTCGTGCATGTTTCTCACCAAACTGTCAGAAACAAACTCCACGAGGGCCCGATGTGCTTCAGTGCAGAGCCCGGCACCGTGCAGCTCAAGTATATCCGCCTGAGATCTGCCATCCTGGAGGAGCCGGACTACTTGTGCAACCTGAACCGGCTGGAGGTACGATCCTCATGCTAGCAGCAGTGATAAGGAGTAAAAAGACAAACTAGAGGATTAGGAGGGATAAGGAGAGAGGATTTTTGTGGTGGTAGTCTTGTTGTTGCCTCTCTGGTAAACCCGTTATCACTAGGATTTGCACCAAAGCAGCTGAAATGGATTCACAATGCTTTCTGCTTCCTAGCTGGAAAGACTTATATCACTGAAGTTCAACCAACTATGATGCTCGAGCGTTCCCTTAATGTTTTTTTGAGCAGTGTACTTATTGATCGCTTTTTTCTGAAGAAAAAGGATGAATATTTTATCACTTTCTGAAACTAAAAAGCCAAAAGCATTTCTTTCACTGTTTTTTAAAGTCTTCTAGATCACGTCGGATGTAAACTACCAGTTCAAAATGGTTTTGTGCCATTACCCAGTAGAAACAAAGCTTAATAGCAGGCAGGCACCTGACAGTGGTTTCTGAAACACATTGTATAGCAGACATGTGGGTGAAGATCGGGTACAATGATAACAATGACTTACCACACATACACACACACATACAGGACAGTTACCCTTTGCCATTCCTTTGATATGTGATCTCTGGGTGAACTACTTCTGTTGAACCGAGGACCAAATCCCTGCTGTGGACAGTGTGCTATGCACCGGACAATGTCCAGAAGACTGAACTGCATCCAGACCTCTGTGTCTGCAGTTGTTGACATTTGTGCAATGTGACAGCATTACTGCTTCCTTCTTTTTCCCTTGCCTAAAATTTCTGACTTGTTGCTAATAAACATTTGTCTCCCGGCGTCGTTTAATTTTCATCCGAGTTACAGCAGTAAGAAAAGTAGGAAGTCTTGTTTTGTAGTCCTGCCATTTAACAATGGAAAGCTAACACAGTAAGAGAATAGACAGAGCGTTATTAATGAGGGGAGAAAGGATCATTAAATATTTTATTTTGTGCGAGTTGAATTTCTGTGTATATTCATTTTTTTAAAAAAAAAAAGGTAACTGGAAATTGGGGGAAAGCAATACAAGAGCTCAAAATGACTTTTTGAGGCTAAAAATGAATGCCTTGGTTTATTGTGAACAGTAAAGAGTCTGTGTCGATACACAACAGTGCGCTTTAACAGGTAACTGTGATGCTCATTTTGAGCCCCATGCGACAGAGGATGCTAGTGATAGGGTGAGGTGGAGGTAGTTGGTGCGCTGTGTTGACCCCAAAAGGGAGCAGATGAGAGGAGCAGGATTCTGCAGGCAAAGCTTTATATGATTCACAGTTCAGAATAATCCCCCTTTGTCTCATACAGGGCCCGATCATGTGCCTGAAACTAGCTTTATCTGATTGGCTGCATGCCACAAACAAAGTCTGGACGGGGGTGTTGAGATGACCATATGAGCATCATACAGAGTAAAGACTGAAACTAAAAAAAAATTTAAGTGGCGAAAACAAGTTTCCATAAATTGTTTTTTTTCCCTCAGAATTTAAAACAAACACTGCACATAAAGTTCAGTTTAACTTACTGAACCAAAAACCTGAAAAACTTATGATTTAAAAATATTAAAATCTAATTGATTTTCTGTCAATTACCAATAACTGAATAAGTTTTAGGTTATGCTCCTGGGTAGATACTCCCAGAGGTTATTTCAACATGCCATCGTCCATCCCAGGGTAATGGGGAGGTTGGAGCCCATCCCTGTTGTAATGGGGTTCGAGGTGGACTATACGCTGGACGGACTGCCAGTCCGTCGCAGGGCTAATGAGTTTCCACATTCCTAAAATATCCATCTAATGTTATAAATCTCTGAACTGTAAATTATGACGCAGTTTGGAGAGTTTCTCCTCGCCATCCAGTCGGAAATCAGCACACCAAGAGACACACGAGCAGGTTGGAAAGAAATGACAGTGAATTGTCAGTAAGTTTTTATTAAACCTTAAGTACAAACTGCAAAAGTAAAAAACAGTCAATTTAACCAACATGAGACTCTCTTTCCGAATGAAGGGAAAGGCCGAGTTACCAAATAAATTAAGTCACCAAAGACCCCACTGTGAGCAAAGTAGTTTATACTGTAGAAAAGGAAGGAAAAAAACAAAGAAAAAAAAATAACTGAAGGACAAACAAAGAAAATCCCATCTGAATAAAATATATTGTAAGGCCATAAAAACTTGACAACCACTTTTTTTTTTAAATGTTGAAAACACCCGACTTGGTATGTCATTAAATAGTCCTAAAACAGTTCAGTCTTCTGCAAGGGACAACAACCAACAAACTGGATTATAGGATTTTTTTTTCCTTGACAGTCACCACTGGCAAGCTCAGTGCAACATGAGTAGCTACTACATTTTTGTTGAATTTTCAGTAATGAAAATGTAAAAACCCATTTTTTTTGTGTGAACATATCATTTTTTTCCCTTTTCTTTAAAAAAGTAAAGCTAAACAAACAAAACTAGATCAGGAGGCCAGGGAGGAGGCAGGGCAGGTAAAGGGGGGGCGGGGGCAGTCGTTGGCTACTCGATATCTTCTTTCTTAGTGATATAAGCAGCACTTAAAATTTTTATACACATTTACCAGAGCAACCCTGTAAGCGTCAAACTCACATGGATGAAGAAAGGGAAAAACGTAAGGCTTTTTCTTCATCGACCACTCTCCTCTGGAACACTTTCTCTCTTTCTCTGGTCCTTCCTTCCTTTCTTTCTTACTCAACCCCAGAAAAAAAGGCTCAAGTATTTAAAGAAATTTACAGGATTATGTACAAAAAAAAGTTGATGTTTGTTTGCGTTGGGCTTTTTCTCCGCTCTTAAAAAAAAGAAAAAAATCACTAATATATCTGGAAAGGGGAAAAAATTCAAAAAAAAAAAAAAAAAAGACAGTAGAAGAAAGAAAAACTTGGATTTGATATTTCACATTTTACACTCTTTGACTAGTGGCTCTACTTGAGATAACACATTAGATCAACAAAGCTTAAAAAAAACCCCAAATAATAATAATAATAATATAATATAATATTAATGTTTACTGGTACAGATGAAACAAGAGGACTGGAAGAATGGAATGTTAACACGATTGCACATCTAGAACCAGAAAAGCCCGACGAGCCTTTCTGCTCTGTGGGGGTCGGGGGGGCGCGTGAGCTAGCAGAGTGAACCAATAGCAGGCGCCAACCCCCAGATTTTTTTTTTCTCCTTTAAAAAGAATTTTGTGTTGTTATACAGTAATTATAACCAACAGCACCAATAAAATGGATCTCCTTGCTAAGTATCAGGCACCATTTCCACTTGCTAGTGAAGAAGGGATCCCTCCATACTACAAGGAAGTGAGGTGACCTTTTCACAGGTCAAGCAGCTGCAGCTCTGCCCCTCTCACGTCCGCCGACGAACAGAAAACAAAAAAAACGTCCACAATGATGACAAAAATAAAAAAGATACACAGAAAATTTCTCACGACAAAACAAAACTATCGAAAAAAGAAAGCTAAGATTCATAAACTGAACTTGGGGAAAAAAAACAAAAACAAATTGTAGCCAACCAACAGTAAACCAACATCATCTGTCTTTCAAGTTTTTTTTACCTTGCATCTCCAACCCACATTTCATTAAAAAAGAAAGAAAAAATAGGCAAGAACTGCATCAAGAATACATTAAAAGTGATTCCTCTTCCTCAAATAAAGGACAGAGAGAAACTTTGGGCAACTACTTGATGTCATTTTCATTTCACAAAATCATGGGAGGGAGGGAGCGGTGGTGAGTGGGGGGAAGGCCGCCTTTTCATTCCTCCTGTGTTCACAGTTGAGGGACATGTGATGTATCAGTATCATGGGTGAGAGGAGGGCAGGAAAGTGTGATGCAAGAAAAAGGTAATTATTGTAACCTCCTATCAGCTGAGGAAGGGTGGAGGTGGAGCTAAAGGGTAAAATGAGGCCTGTCAAGTCTGTGAACATTATACTTAATGCTTTCAATATTGACTCGGAGAGAGAGAGGTGTGTGTGTTCTAAAATCATCCAAAATAAAAACAAATTCTTCTTTCACACTAGTGCAAAAAAGACATCTTGCTTTTCTCTTTTTAGTTCCTTTTCCTTATAACAAGCCTGTCATTACTAAAGGAGAGGAGAATCTCTTGCTTATTAAAGAGATGGAGACTGAGGTCAGGCAAGGGGGGTCTTCAAAGCTCAAAAACAATCTCTAACATCGGGCGGTGAAGAAGGAGCGGTTTGATAGGGATCCTCCTTACTGTGGAAAAACAAAAACACGGGGATTCAGAGAAGTGGAGGGGGTGTGGTGGGATGTGGGCACAGCACACATGGGTGGCAATGTTGAGGCGTCCCGCCTCAGGACACGGCAGCGGCCTTGGGCATGTGGCTGGACGACAGGCGGGCCAGGGACACCTCTACGGTGGCGCGTTTTCGGGGTCCTCGCTTGGCTGGCGATGCTTTGGCAGGGCTTAAGCCGTGGCAGGGGTCCCCTCCTCCGCCACTAACAATGACTCCTCCAGCGTCGATGCTTCCTCCGTTCTTCAACATGGCTCGTCCGCACACCTGGCTCACCAAACTGTTGATTTGCTCCTGTGTGGCAAAAGGAAGCAGAAAAAAAGTGAGAAAAAGGTGGCAATGAAGCAAATGCACACAAATCAAGAGCAGAAGATAAAATGGAATATGGCAAAATGAAAAAGTACAGGTGTGTCTACTGTTAAAAAAAACATAAATAAAAATGTGACAGTCTGATTACACCACAAGTACAACTCAGTATAAACATTTTCGTTAATCATCCACTTTCAGTAGCGGTGTGAAAAGCTAGCTGATGTCTCCCCCATCTGGACAGAGGGAGAATGGAAGCATAGCAGACCCACACAATGGTAGCTTACCTCATCATATCGATACATCATCTTAAGGCCTCTGCAGGATTTGTGCTTCTCCACATAGCGCAGGGCACACTCCAGACAAAAGACCACATTGTCAGTCTCCCGAACCACCTAAATGGAAAAAAAGGCTTTTAGTTAAACAAAGAATTTATTTTCTTAGTGAAAAAGTGGAAATATTGATAAATCTCTATAATGTCTCATACTCATCATGCTTATATTCTTATCTCAGTAGTATTAAGTATGTTTAGTAAGTTACCTTTAACTTACAGAGCATACTGCAGGAATAATAACAACAAACTGAAAAAAACAAACAAAAACAACAACTCCTAGCGCCAATTCACAACAACAGTTGCCTCAAGGCGCTTCGTACTGTAAGGTAAAGACCCCACAATACTATAGAGAAAACCCCAACAATCAGATGATCCCCTTTGAGCGGCACTTGGCGACGGTGGGAAGGAACAACTCCCTTTTAACAGGAAGAGACCTCTGGCACAACCAGGCTCAAGGAGGGGCAGCCACCTACCGCGGCCGGTTGGGGGTTAGGGGAAAGAAGAGAAAGGAGAGCACAGAGGGACCATGGAAAATGCACAAGATACAGGAGAGAGTAGACAAAAGTTAATTAATATGCAAAATTGGCAAACAAATTCATCAGGATTGAAAAAGAGGTCACTGGAAAACAAGTGCATTATGGTCCCTCAGCAGCTTTTAGCAGCATAACTAAATGATGCTTCAGGATCATCCAATCTGATACTGGACACTTTATGAACCACAGGTAGAGTCGAACTTAAACTCTGGAGTTAGCAGGGCACCAATGAAGAGAAGCCAGGATTGGAGAAATACACTCTCTCTTTCCAGTCCCTGTGAGTACCTTTGCTGTGGCATTTAGAATCACCTAAAGGCTTTTAAGGGAGCTTCTAGAAAAGTCCAATAACAGATGTGTGTTTAATGTGCGAATTAAACGATATATCCCAGTTAAAAAAAAATTAGTCCAAGATTCTTCTGTGTTTTTGGAAGCCAAGGTAATGCCATCTAAAGTAACTTTATGGCTAAAAGAGATTTTAAGGTCATATACAATAACCTCAGTTTTTTCTTAAGTAGAAATTAAGAAATTACCAAATCTTTTTGAATCATCCGGCTTCATAGATGGATATGACTTGGTATCATCTGCATAACAACAAAAATGTATGCAGTGTTTTCTAATAATACAACCTAAGGGAACCACATATAACGTAAAAAAACCAAAAAAATTTAAAAAATTTAAAAAAAAAAAAAAAAGTATTGGGCCCAGGACAGAACCTTGTGGAACTCCATGAATAACTTCAGTGTACGACGAAAACTCCCCATGTACATGCACAAATTGGGATCTATCAGATATGATTCAGTTGATCGATTGATCGATGGGGTCTAACAGACATGTTGATGGTTTACTTGAAGTAATTAGTTCAGTGAGATCAATCGGCAAGAAGCACTCTAAATATCAGACATCGGACATTTTTCAATAATGGTAAAAATTGTATTTGAAAGGAAATTCGTGAAGTCATTATTACTGATAGCTAACAGAACTGAAAAACAATAAGCAATATGTCGGGACAAGATCAAGAATGTGATTAAAATATTGAGTTGAGGGTAGTAATGAATTAAACACAGTGTTGAAGTCGTTGTTTTCATCATCTACAAGCATAAATCTGCCAACAGAAACTTTTGTCTTTTACAGTTCAACTGTTTAAGGCTAAAGATAATTACAGCTGTCTGAGTCTTTGAGGGATTAATAAACTAGAGTGAGAGATCACTGCCTTCATTTAAACTTAAAGTGTAAGAGAAAATAAATCAACATGTTGATCGATTATTACATCATTTACTAACAGGGACTTTAGAGAGAGTCCTAATATAAAAAATAAATCAATATTCAATTGTTTTGCTCTATTGAAATAGTTTTCATATATTTCTGGGAGCAGATGGTCTCTGTGAGTTTGGAGGGGGAGGGAAGCTGCTGGGAGACATGTAAAGTTGCATACATACTGGAAGTGATTTGCTAATAGGGGTTGAAATTTGTAAGCATTTGCAAAAAAATTATTTTTTGTTTATTAACATTTTTTTAAATAATATGTTTGAAATAAAAAATTGATTCAGATTCAGACTCATCGTGCATCGCTTTGAAGATCGAAACAGACTAATCAACTCTGGATAGTCATCAGTTTTTTGTTTTTTAATAAATTCCGCAACATTCATAGAGATGAGAGCTGCACCACCCATAGTAGGATGGTTGCAGTCTCTCTAAAAAAGACCACATTTTCCACAGAAAGTTTTCCAGTTACCTACGAAGCCCATATTGTTTGCTGGACACCACCCAGACAGCCTGCAGCTAAAAGACAACATCCAGCTATGCATGTCAACCCAGGTCAGACTGGGGAGAAGACGCTGTTAGTAAAGTCACACACTAACTCAATGTTAGTTTTAGTGACTTGTGATTAAAACAACTGGATGCCATTACTTTCAATCTGAATTACAGTCTAAGTAAATCTATGTTTATCTTTAGTTAGCTGTTTTATATCAAACAAATGCTCTGCTCTGCTGTTGGAGTCTGCAGGTTCACGTTTCTAAGTATGAAGCTGCCAATGACCAGAGTTTTTTTCTCTGCAAGTGTTGCTGAGTGGAAAAAAAACATGGTTAGAATTTTGAATGTGCTAGTTGTGTACCAAGGGCTTCTCTTTCGGACTGCATTTGCTTCCAGCAGCAGCCGGCCTTTCTTCCCGGCAGTGAATTTGGGTGACAGCTAAACTACTTTGGGCCTGGCTAGCCATTACAGCTGCAGGTTTACTTTCAGCGGTGCGGAGCCATGCCTCCAATTCACATAGGCTACGTTCACTCTGCAGGCGAAAGCGCATCAAATCCAATTTATTTGACCCTATGCAACCCATATCCGATCATGGTATGACAGTGTGAACGGCACAAATCCGATATTTTCAAATCCGATCTGGGTCACTTTCGTATGTGGTACTGAATCCGATACATATCCGAAGTTTCAGAAAGCGACCGCTGTGAATGGTCAAGTCGCATTAAATCTGTCTTTTACGTCACTGACACAAGACAGACGCCAATTATCAGCGCCGGAGAAGCGCCCGATAAGACATCGCGAACGCTTCCTGGCCATCCAACTGTTGGGAAGACAACGTTGGAGAAACGTTACTTCTCCAATGTTTTATTTGTACTGCATAATCTGCAGATTCTGACAGAAATCTGCAACTATCCTTTGAAGCACCGCTCCTCTCTAAAACAGCAATAAGGATCATTATTAGGTTATCTACATTATTATGTAAATAACAAAATAACTTAAAGCAAAAATTGGGAAACGTGAAGTCCGAAGTCTT